TAATTCTTAAAATTATATACTTAAATGATATTTAAAAAAATTCGTTCATTCATAAATAACTTGAATAATTCTTAAAGTATTCTTTAATTGCGTATTGTGTTTTTTAAATAGTTCATGTGTATCATAAGAAAAAATATATAAAGCATCATGACAAATAGATGTCACTAAACAATAGGTTAGAATAATACCAACAAATAAATAAAAAAATAAGGCTTGGTATGTATTGAATTCAGTATCGTAAAATTTAAAGTAATTTTTCTATAAAACAAACATTACTTTATTCTTCGATAATAATCTATACATATATATGTATATTTTTTGTATTATATTGCTTATTATTTTTCATCAGGCGTTTCAAATGTTTATAATATTGTAATGTATTTTAACATCGTCCTATAAAATGTTTAATTAATTATTTATTCTTAATTTCTTAATGGTTCTTTAATGTCAGCAGTCAAGCCATACCTTGTAGCTAATTAATGGTTATAGCCATTTTTGGTTGTCGTCAGTAAAAACATAGTTTTCTAAAGTCTTAACCATGATAGAATTTTTCCAGTTATGCGTGTGTGTGTGTGGGTTTATGTGAGGTGTATGTGTGTGTGTGTCGTTAACGTACATAGTTCCACTTCAAATGCACAGATATAGTAAAATGTTGAATCTATTGCGATCTTTTTGGCAAATATCTGAATTGGTATTTTATTCATCACTAAATTTGGTTCTTTTTACTTTAACAATTTATTTGCTCCAAACTTATTAAGACGATTTTTAGAAAATATTAATAGAGTGAACTCATCGTTCAATACTGCGAATAAAATATTATGCCAGGATATTTTTTTAAAATTAAGAAAAATTGTTAAAATAAAATAAAACTTAATTTTCATTATGACATAACGTTGTTTGATAAAACAGTATTGTTACTACAAGTTTTATAATGTCACATGAAATACGCAGCTAGGACAGTTTTTCCTTAATTAATTACATATTGTAGTATTAACACAGCTTATTATATGAGAAACGGGAAGTGCGTCGTATGCAGTGTGACGGTGCTTACTTATAGTAAACTGCAAGTTATTTCGATTTGAAGTTTTTTGTTATTGAGCCTCAGAAAGCTTGAATGTGTCAAGAAATATATACCTATGTACATCAGATCATTTGGAGCAATTGTAGGGATTATATTAAAAATAATAGAAGATGACACTAATATTTTTTGGATTATACTACGCGTTTAAACAAAGCAAAACAGTGTATTAAAACCGAAAAAGATTAGTTTCATTTAAATGAATACTCGCGAAAGTCTTAGAAGATGAAGTATCTCAAAATATAAGACGGCGTTTTAATCTGGATTGGCAAGTACAGGAAGAATATTTACAGGTGGACAACTGTTAAGATCCTGGAATTCCCTTATATTCGGTTTAAGGCATATGAAACTCTAAGACAATTGGAGTAACTCAAGATGAATAGAATCTCTATCAGACAGATGCATTAAATCGTATTTTGATTATGTACATAAATATTTTCATAGCATATTTTGCGATGGTGTTGTATATGTGGCTATGAGTTTTGTTATAATATTTATGACTATATACATATCTATTTAAAGGTTTTAGTTTTGACACCTAAGAATTTGCAATTTGTTTTTGACATCTGTAGACATGAAAGTACTTAATACTTTATATATTTAAGGAATACCCTTATTAATTACTAAGTTTTTTAAGTCGTTTCACTATACTTTTATGAGAATTTGTTATGTATTTCTTTAAAGGAAACGACATACATTCCAAATATTCTCATTATATCAGTTTAACATTGCACAAAATTTAATTTTTGTTTCATCAAAATTTTTATAATTAAACTAAACATGAAGTTATTAAATAATAAATTATATTTTGCATCAAAAACAAAGGTCGTGAATGTCACTGAACCCGTTATTATTTCGTCTTTGTTATGACTTTAACATAACTTTTTGTTATATTTCGATCAAATTCATATTCCATAATAGTTTTTATAACTTAGTTAATAACTCAGTGTGTTCTGTGAGTTATAAATCCTGTAATGACCGCGTAGTTTATGACCAAATGGGTATAGCTCATTGCTTTCAAAATTCACTGTCTTTCTATGTAAAACATATTATTATCTGTTTAAAATTAGTTTAAAAGGGTTTTATATAAAAAAATTAATGTATTCGATGTTTTTCATTAAATTTGGTTTTAAGTGCACTTGTTAATTGAATTAATTCAATGTAAACAAAAGATCGTTAAAGTTGTCTGTTTGGTAGAGTTAACGATTCTTTAGAGTAAATTTAATAGGTAGGTATACATATTACATTGTTAGGATAAATCCTAATAAATAAATATATATATATATGTATATTTTGTTCTGAGTAATACTATATTCATATAACATTATTTAATTTAATTTTGTACTTTCTTAAAAGCTTAACTCAAGTCTGTTGTAGAAGCGGAGTGTTTCGCAATATTGTTCTATAAAATAATTTGCCATTTCTCAAAATAATCATTTAAATAGTATAAATCACTGTCAGAAATTTATATTTTTTTCTTATTTATATATAAAAATTTTAAATTAATTATATTTATACTTCAAAATTCAATATAAAATAACTTTAAAAAACGACTTCTCGTAAGTTAATAAACCTTAATATGCGAAAAAAACAAATCTTAACGGACAAAATGACTGACAAGTGACATTTAAAATATAGGGAGTATAAACTCTTTACAAGGAACTTAAGAAAAAAATTACTAATAATTTGCTAGAGACTAATTTTATATGTATACTACATATGAAGTACCTTAAATATTCTATTTCTCTCACTCTATTTTTATGTCTCTTCTTACTCTTTTGATCTCCCTACAATTATAATAACCAATAAGTAACGCGCATAAAAGCTTATTTCTAAGTAGATAGGCTGTTCAAGATCTCAAAGAAAGCATAAAAAAAAATCGATCTCCATCTTCAGAATGATTGTATTATTAATATTTGATCCAAATTATAATAATATTTTCAATATTTGTTAATATTATTCACACTTTATAATATATGTAACTACGCAAAGAAAGTCGGGAGTCATTTAAATAAATTTATATATAACATATTCATTGATAAAATTTAAGAGAGTTAAGTTTTTTCGTTACCATGAAATCATCTATACTCAAATACTATGATATTCCAAATCCTTATTATGAGTTTCCATTATCTTAACACAGATAGTTTGCAGTCTTACTCGTATATACATATAATGGGATTTTGGAAAGAAAAACTGTCTGTTTTATAATGATATTTCTATTCGTGACTACGGAAACTGCGAAATAGTGGAATCACTGGAAAATAATAAAAATCTTGAAGTTAAATACGAAATCATATATTTACTTCTCATTGGTTATTTACTAATATCAATTATAAATAATATATATGTATATAAATTTAATAATTAATTAACATAAACCAATTTTCTATCTTTAACTTATTCAAACTTACGTAGCTCGTCGTTTAACAGTGTAATTAATTTTCCATACATGAAAACTTATATATTATTCTGATTCGTATCTAGAAACGTCAAATTATGTATATAAAGTAATTTTTTATTTGATTTACATAAATTGCTCCTACAAGGTTGAGTTTATGTAGCTAAAAAACTGTATTTAATTGGAATGAGATAGGTATCTATTTACAATGCTAATTATTGTATATATGTATATATGTTTGGTTCTATATTATACGACAAATTGCATATTAAATATATATATATAATACTAACCCAATTAAGACTAGTTTATACAACTAGTTTACTAGTTTATAGAACCAAATTGAAATACTACTAAAACTTCATATGAATAAAATAAATAAATCACGCGTAAGCAAATACAGATTCCTGTTTCGATTAATAATTTAATTTATCATATAAAAAATACAATAATTTGTCATGTAATTTGTCTGTATATAGTATTACTATATATTTTCTTTTATTTAATTACTAGAATAGAATTGAAATATACTGTAGTATATTTTGTTTAGAATGAATTCATAACATGAATTTTAATTTGTATGTTTTAAAATCTCTTAATTATACGTTTTTGTCATTAATTTCTTTAGAAAATGTCATTAAATCCAGTAAAATGTATTTTTGTTCCGATATCGCATTCATGTTTAAGCACGGGATATTAATTTATATAAGTTTATTAATTAAGCGTTTAAAATAATATTTGTATGAAAATTCATTAAAAATGAGAAAAGAAATAAAAAGATTCCTTCATTGGATCAAAACATGGTAATTTAGATCAAACAGAAAATGAATATTAAAAAATCTATTGAGATTTCGAAATAATGTTTAAGCTATATTCTTATTAATATTTTATTCTATAAAATATTTTTATTATATGGGAATAAAGCTTGAAATAAATTCATGAAAAACTCCACTTCATCTAGAAGTCGTAAATAGAGTAATTAAAATGCATATACATTAATGAATACAGTTAAATATTTATGGCAAAGATTGTATTGAGTATTTCTTGTAGTGTTTTAAAGTTAACCGTCGCTGGAAACAGGAATATTAAATAAGTCTAACTATATATAAGTGTAAATGTAAGTATTTCTAGAGAATGATTTTCACTTATTTTTGTAATATACTGAAAGCTTGAAAATATTCTAGTTTTAAAGCAAATATGAAAGGAAACTTCTTTTTCGTCTTATTGGATTATTTGAATGAAATTTACACATAATATACATCGTTTATATTTATAAAATCTATTAGCATATTAAAACAAATGTATTACTTGGATGTCAATATTAAAATATATTTATATAGGTCACGTGCGGAAAAATCTCTGCTGTTTTATTCACAAAGCACGATTTATAGCTATATCAACAAGTTATATACAACAATAGATTTAAAAATTTTTTCGTTACATGATACAACCCTGAATATAGGGTTGAAATATTTTCCTTGAAGAATAATTACGTACTATATAAGAATATACAGTTCTTACCGTTAGGAGAGCCAGCCCTGAACATAGGGTTGGGTGTCATCCACGGGAAGGCTCCAAAGGGCCATGCATGCGAGGGTCCTTGGTAGATCCTTGGCAGTAAGGGCTGTGGTATGACCACTCCGCTCCTGGCTTCATCATCATCATTATTTTCTCTATCATCACCCACGTTAGACTCCACGTCTTCTATATCCACGTCACTGTCATCAGATTCGACGGCGCTCTCAGCGTCATTACTGACAGCGTCAGGTGTATTTCTTGTAGTGTCACTCTTGCTGCCCAGTAATGAGTCGACGCTGAACGATATCCGACCCTTCCCGCTATCAGCGGCTTCAGACCGCTCGCAGTCAAGCGAAGTCTTCATCTCATCTATGAGATATCATCTCCTTCATCAATACCACATTGCTTCAACAAATCAAAACTATAATCTTCATTTATGATCACATTAAATATATAAGTATGAAGTAACAGATCAAACAGTACACAATCACAGTCCGTACGCAGTAATGCGAATGTTTTTCGCGATCCGCGGAATGGTTCGCGTGGACACGCGTCGGTTATCGTTCTGGCATTGGCTCGAGCTCTGCCTCTCCCTGCTCGACAGAGACGAACATATACAGCGAGGAATTTTAATAAGCGGTCCGGTGCGAGCGAGACGAACCTACTACACGCGGGAGTACCAGCCTGGGCGGGGCTGGGCGCGCTTAAATTAATACCTACACACGAATACGACGTATAAAGACGCTCAACGTCAATGGAATATGGACTCTATGTAGTTATAATATGATTGATATTAGATTAATGCTAATATTGAATATAGGATGTTCAGATACTAAAGTCAGCAGATTGCAGTGGCTATTGTGTTGAATGAAAAAGGAGTAAATAGAGTACCGCTGTAGGCGGCGTAGAGGGGACTTTACGATTTAATTATTCGCGAATACGGAGGCATTTTGTAGCGAGCTAATGCCTCATTGTCTCATTAATATCTCGGCCATGTTTGATTTGTTTATGACACGCTCTAGGTGCGAGGCGGGTGACGTGCGCTGCTACCGTTCTGAAACGATGTTTTGTGTTCTGCGAGACAGTTTCAGTTCGGAAACAGAGATTCAAAGCTAGCAAGTTGCTTCGGAATTAATTTCATGCCATATCTTTATTAGTAGATCGCTAGTGTTTTCAGCGTGGGTTTGTCTGTTTCTGATGCGAGTGGGCGCTTTGTATACCAATATTTACTGAGCATACACCGTCTTTGATTGCGAATAAAAATGTTTTTTGTAAATCTGTTACTTTATTATACACTGTTTTAATTCAATAAATCTCTTTCCATTAGCGAGTCGTCATTAAGTACAGTGTAACAGATTTCATCGCCGAAATACACCATTAAAAATACATAAATATATCAAAGCCGATTACAAAAGAAAGCCTATTTGAAATCAAATCGTTAGCGCTATGTCACTTAGAGTTAATCGCATTATATCGATATTATCTCTTTGTGATTTTCAAAAATTTCCCCCGTCCTTATTATAATGGGTTAAGGTTGAAATTTGGGTATACAAAGGGGCATCAATTCGCAGATTTTAACAAAAGACATTCTCCACATTTGCTATACGATATCGCGTCTTATTGTTAATACAATATGGGTTATATTATTCAATTGTTAATGGTCCCCTCGAGCCAATTAACGTGATTTAATTGTACTAGCAGATTATCGTTAGCTTTAATGAAAACTGCTGTTATAGATGTTATAACAGAAACGACTGTCTGTTTGATGTCGGTCTGTATGTGAGGATTATTTATATATTTTACATACAACACATACAATAAAATAGTAACATAGTTATATATAATATTAATATAGTATGATAAACCTTCAAGAGGCTCTCGTAATACGGCTTAAGTGAAAATTTATATAATACTAAAGGGCAATCGTTTTAAATAACGACCTTAATATTCCCGAGTGGCGCGAACAATTTAGCGGAGATGAGATATTTTTTTTATTATATTAAAAAAAAAGGTGGAGGGTGGACGCCGCGCGAAATGAGTTTTTAGTTAGCGAGGTTTTATATGTTACAGAGTGTTCAATTGTTACAATATAATACACTTTCGATTATTACTTAATGATTTCTTATAAATTTAATATAAATACTATACGTTTTGTATTACTTACGTTACATTTTCCGTATATCATTCAATAGTATATATTAATACTATAATGTGTGATGATTAGTGTATGTTAAACTGTTAACGCTACGTGTGTAGTGTGAGCAAACTTGAGTTAGTGTAAAAAGTATCATTGGATTTGACATTTAAATATAAAATTCGTAAAAAGAAAATTCATAAAATAGTCTTAGGTTTGAGTGTAGAGATAACAAAATGTACATATAAATTTTAGTTTTATAATTGAACTGAATAAATGTTTATAATTTCCTAAAAGATATTCTAATTGTCATTTTCTTAATTTTCTTTAACATCCTGTATAACCAAAGCAATAGAAAAGCGGGAGAGCAATAAAACCTGCGTCGTTCCCGCCGCTGTCATCGTAAAAACATTTCCCGCCTTAATATTTCGCGATTACCGCCATTTTTTTCGTATTTAGTTATTAAATATTTAAATGTTCGTAATGACTTATGGTTATTGTATTGTTTGATTTTTTTAAATAAATTCTGGTGTTTCTAAATAGAGTGACAGTATTGTAGTTTTTATGTAACATATGGGAAATGATAAAATTACAAATCCCATTTACCTGATTATTTAATCTGTCACAAAAACAATGAATGCATTAGCAAAGGTCCCTTGTTATGTCGAACAGAGAAAAATAAACTGCACCTTGTTAAATAACGGTCGTGTAAATCTAAAAAACAAACAAAACTCTTTAAACAACCAAACATCAGGCTCCCACTTAAGCATCACTTAACAGAACCAATATAACATGAACCGCACCGCCCCAAACATTCACATATAACGGAGATCGTTTTAAACTGGACGCATTACACCCTCAACAAATATTGTCCGAACAAAGAAGGTAACAATCGAATAAGAATAGGTAAGTGTAACAGAGTTTAGTACAGGCGCCAGGAGCGGATTACGGTTTGAATTTCGAATGTTTGCATTTTTAAAAATGGAACGCGTGTTTTCGCATTAGCACCTTTTACTGTTTTGCTTTTAAGCTCCAACAGCGACGTGTGTGGCCGTATGGGACTGATCATTTTTAATCTGTGACGCTTTGTTACATACGTTTTCTTGGCGCATTAACACCTCTTTGGAGTTTGGAAATGTTTTTTTTTTTATGTAACTGGTTGCTTGTAATTTTCGTAGCTGTTAACATTTACCGGTTTCTACATATTAGCTTTTTGACATTGAAGATATATGCTTGTAATGAAATCATCAAATACAATAGCGATTTTTTGTATATAATAATAATTTATATGTATATGAGACGCAAAATTATGAACTGTTTATCAAGTTGTTTGTATTATCAACAACTTTTTGCTGTATGTTATAAATCTATTGTATTTTTCTGACAGCTACAACTTGACTTTATAATCTGGCTTCCAAATTTTAACGTGTGCTTAGAAGCACGTGCAAAATCTTATTGTGTAGTTTCAATGGAATCCAAAGATCTTTTGATATCACCCAGAAAAAAAAACATCTATAATAAACAGTTTTATAACTCTACGTATTTCCTAGTTCCTAATACAAAGGACGAAGGTTAATAATTGTCTGTTTTTTTTGGTCCGTGAATCATAAATGACATCTTCATTCCCTTGAGATATTAAGATAACATTAGTGGCTTTTAAATGGTTGTCCGGTGAATGAATGAATGAATGGTTCCTTATAAAACACACTCGAACGAATGAATTGCTTGACGTTTTTCCGTACGATGGTTTTATGTTGATAAATACGAGACTAATCAAATTATTTATGGCATTAAATGTTAATAAAATGCAACGCATCTGCGTCGGTCTTTGTGTTTGAGAAAAAAATATATATTCTAAAGGGTTCGTGCAATAGATATGATGTTTGAGATATCTTTTTAAATAATAATAAGAATATATTTATTAATTCTTATTAAAATGAAGTGTTATCATAATTATATTAATATTACAAGTTATATAACTAAGTTCGGCCATTAGCGAAGGGTAGGGTAGGCCAGTTTTCACCTCATTTAGCCCCAGTTAAGGGTCCTATTATGTACTTTATGTATTTCTAAATTACCCATCACTTAATAGGGTAGCCAGGGGGTTACAAAGCCAATGTTACTTGACCTTCCTGTGTTTAAAATTGCGCGGTAATATTGTGAATGTTGAAGGTGAAATTTAATATTGGTAGATCATTTTATAATGGCCGTATTTAAAAGGTGGGGTGTTTTAAAGTGTTCGTATGATTACCGACTTGTTCAAATTTAATACGCCTGTAGTTGTTGTTAATAAACGATTGCTATTTATCATTTTACATGTAAATTGTCTGTTTACGTTATTTACATCTTGTTTATCTAATAAAGGAGTAAACATATATTTTTAAATTAATTTTTAAAACTAGGTATATTGTAAAAACAACCTATGTATCAATGAAATTTAAATCAAAGATTCGTATAGGCACACAAAGAAAATGTTCCAAATTTAAAAAGTAAAAAAGAAGTATTTATATATAATTTTTTCTTTTTTAATGTATATGAACATATACTTCCAGCCAGTACGAAACCCGTGTTCCATATTTGAAAAATGACAGCATTGAAAAAGTATTAAAAGGGTGTCCATTATGGAGTATATTAGACCCCAGATGTGAAAACAACAATTGCTCGAGTCTATTGTACAAGCGTTGTATTGTAGCGCTGTCCCATTATTGAGAGTACCTACTCAATACACGCTGTGGGGACCATGGCGGATAATTAAAATATATATTTATTATATGTATATACATATATATTAATATATAAAATTTTTATTAAGCCCAGGTATTAAAATTCTGAATGGTTGCATTGATTTTCTTCGGTATATAAATAATTGATACTTACTTTATAAAAATTTATTTACATATAGTTTTTTGGGAAGGTCATTGAAAAATAATAATATTAATATGAGTACAATTTATTATAATAGTTATATAATATATACGTTAAGGTTGGTTTTAGCTTAATCATAAAGCATGGTCACCCTGGCACCTAAAATGGCGCGGCATAGGCGAATGCATTCAGAGTCGTTTTAATGACCGGCTGATAGCCGTTTAAAAACGAATTTGCTCACTTCTGGTACATTAAACAATCATTCATTCAGATATCACAGCTACAAGTTTAGAAATAAATGGTACCGGTTCCCATATACACCGAATTAATGGATTTGCATGACTAGTAATTATATTTTTAATTTTTTTTGTGCCAGCAATTTATAATTTGAGAAAAGAGGTTGATTAATTAAAGTTTTTATAACAATTAATAAAATTAATTATTAGGTATTAATTAGAGGAGATTGCTATAAAGATAATATCAAAACCTAGTTTTTTATAATACGCAATTCATTTTAAATTATATTTTTTGTGATGGATTCCAAGATTATTAAGAGATAGACGAGAAAAAGAGGATTTTTATAAAATTAAATATATTATTTTCAAGAGTACTATGTACACTTAAACCTAAATTTAAAATAAAAATTTAAAAACATTGTAAAAGAAAAAAATAGGTAGAATTTTAAGTCTCTAGCTTAAAAACAGTTAAAATTAA